TTTGTTATAAATCATTTAAATTGTAATTCAGAAGGATACACACCCATGTATCTACATTTTCAGGGTCCTGACATTAAGCCTAAACCACTGGTAAAATGGAAAGATGTATTAACTGGGACCTGGAAAGGCCCAGACGTCTTACTCACTGTGGGCGAGGATCTGCTCGCGTCTTTCCACAGGTGCTGACTCTCCTGTGTGGATCCCAGACCGATTCATTCACCCCCATGACGGGCCTACCACCTCCTCCGCCTCACAGCAGTGTCACCAGCTACTTGGAACCCATAAGGGAAACAACTGACTCCTCTCCTGATGAATTCCGACAGGCTCCGTGTCCAGCCCCTCCGACTAACACTCCAGTGCGCTAGTCACCTCCTCCCCTCACGCGGGGAGCCAGTCCCTCCTTGGTTTCTCCTTTCCAGAGTTTGTCTCTTCAGCGAGGTCATGGAGAATCTGGGCCTGGGCCTATTCGTCACCGCCAAGCCCTCTCCACTCGCACTGTCTTCCCCCGACCTGGGGACAACTGAAGAAGCTCAGCAACAAAGCACTAGACATTCTTGCTTCCCAAGGAACGGCACCTACCCCTGAGGTTGTTTTTATTGCTTTGCTAGCAGTTCTCACGTGCCAGCTATTAGTCTCAGGATTAGTTGCAGCTGAAACCTATTGGTCAGACATACCAGAACCTCAGGTTTTGCACCGTCACCTGGGAGACACCCGAAGTGCCAGTTTACAAATGATTCCTTCCTCCTGGGGGTAAATCAAGTGCCTTTACTAACCCTAAAAGTTCATATAATGTTACCTACAGGGGTAATAGTTCCCTGCCTCCTATTTGCAGATCCCATCTTCACACAGCACTTCCAGGGCCTTGTGTGTCACTGGGGATTAGAACTCTGGTCACAGATTCCCATTACTAGAGCCAAGTAGAGACATCTTTGGATGTTAGCACTTGTAATTCCCTCATTTCCAGATTTTAAATTCATTACTACTTCTACTTTACCTCCTGATCAAATTCCTGTGTGTGACCCTTATCC